GTAGGGGAGGTGGACTGCCCCTGGTGGATCACAGGTGGGATCTGGGCTACTGCCACTCTGAGGGGCTTAATAACTGTGGATCATCAAATTAACTTTAGTTTCTAACTGCAGTTGTACCTGGTTTTGTAAAATTCTGTACCAGGAATCTTGTGGTAAGTGGTATTAGATTTCCATCTGTAATCTTTTGGGAGACAGAACCAAAATTGGGATGCACTCAAGCGACACACCCATCCCTGTAGTAGGCGGCTTTTTGGTATTAGGAGATGGTGAGGTTTCGCCCTTGTAGGTAATGAAAACAAAGCTAAAGCAAAACTGAGGAAAGCATGACTCTTCATCAATACAGAATTTACCTCAAATAGCCAACTTTAAAATCTTTCCTTCCTTTTTTTTTTTTTTTTTGAGACAAAGCCTCACTTTGTTGCCCTTAGTAGAGTGCCATGGTGTCATAGCTCAAAGCAACCTCAAACTCTTCTAGTGATTCTCTTGTCTCAACCTCCTGAGTAGCTGGGACTACAGGTGCCCACCACAATGCCTGGCTGTTTGTAGAGATGAGGTCTCTCTCTGGCTCTGGCTGGTGAGCTCAGGCAATCCACCCACCTCGGCCTCCCAGAGTGATCTTCCACTTTCTTGATCTGAAATATGAGCCCAGTAACGTGTAGGACCTTAAACCAGATCATCCTTCTTGTATAATCCAGATACTTTTTATAGGTCTGGTACAATGAAAAACACAACGCAGACTACCAAGAATAGTTTTACAATAGGGTGGAGTTATGTTGGAATAAGTTACCCCAACTTAACTGCGGTGGCCCTGAATGTACACACAGAGGAAGTATTTATGCTGTTGTACTAGAAGCTTCAAGTACTGTGTTTGACTTTCGGTATACACGAGGGCCTGTTGACAACTAATGTTCATTTGCTGGACTTAAATAAATAAGGGACCTCATTAGGTTCAAACCTCTGACATTTGCTGAAGGCAGCTGTCACCCTGCCTCCCTTCATAACAGCTCCTCCCTGGGAACTGACTCTGGGAACACAAGTGGCTAACAGCCACCAGACAAGGCCATAAACCTGCTTTTATTACATCGTCTGCTGCCTGTGGAGGTCTGAAGTGGGCCTAAGAGCATCACCAGGTTCATTTAGTTTAGCGATCTCAGGATAGAGTCTCTCAGCTTGGGGCCCCTCCCAGCCAGTGAAGTAATTCCACTGGAAGATCTGAAGGTAAACTCAGCCATTTTATTCCTAGGGTTAAATAAGGGGAGGGGGGAGAAGAAAAAGACTTCCAGGAATAAGACGAGTGTCATTGATGCTTTATTTACATGCGTCACCATCTCTTTTACAAACTAGATTACGGTTTTAAATGGAATACACAAGGCAAGATCTACAAACACCAAGGAAAGTAAGTACTGCATCTCTATTTCATTTGGAAAGGGGAATATTCCCAAATCAAACTGGTTTTGATCCTTGAGAAGGCGGCGGCAGAGTTAATTCGTGGCAGCATATGGTTAGACAAAATCCTCAGTAAGAATGCAATCTGATAGTGTTCGCTCTGAAAGAAAGGATGAGGTGCTTCAAACCCAAGTACAAACTGCTTGGCTCTCGGGTGTTTAAATACGGCCATGCACCATATTCTAGTTTATGTGGGGTATGAGCAAGGAACTGAAACAGATACGACAGTTTTACAGATACTGTATACAGATTTTTTTTTTCCATTCATGCAACTTTTCTTAAAAAAAAGTTAAACATGTGTAGCCAAAATGTATAATACATTTTAAAAAATATTAACTAATTTTTCTGGTCCTCCTTCACATCTGTTTACATTTCCTGTGTACATAATGTGCTGGGACAAGGATATAAGAGAAGACTGATTGCCAGGCAATGAGATAATTTTAGAGAAGTCACCGGACATACAGTTTTTCAAAGCAGCCGCACAAGTATTTCTGGAGTGTGGCAGAGGCCTCATAACCAATCATTCATCAAAGAAAAATACACACGAGTAAAACTAGAGGAAAAGATTCCATTCAAACTGCATAAAGTATCACCCACTTAAGATTTAGGTCAAATGTAATATACTCTTTTCAGTTACTGCTTTAAGATCTTGTTAGATGGGCCTGACCCCACAAGAATTCACTGTCCCCTGTGGCACTCTGCCTCCCCGGTTTCCAGGAGAGGATGGCTTTTTCGTACCTCTTTACTAGTGATTGCATTTCTATAAAAAATTTTTTAATTAAAAAAAAATCATTATGCCCAATCATTCAATGTTCCCCAAATACAGTAAAAAAAGGAAATCAGAGTTCAGAGCTGTCAGGGTTTTCTTTTTGCTTTTAGAAAGGGTAACATTTTTGTTTCCCCTCAGCAGCCCTTGGCACCCACATGTGGAACTCTGACTTGCTTTTTGACTGCTTTATTTTTGATGGTCTTTTCCAACAGATTCAAAGGCTATTTTTTAAGTGGGGTTCATAGGGTAGAGGCAAAGTCTGTCCTTACCATCCTTAAACTATGTGCAAGTTTGGAAGCCACCTGAAATCACACCCTTGGAGGGACATACCCTGTCCTGAGTAGTGAGCTGTGATGTCCTCCCCTCAGGGTGCAGAAGCAACACACATAATGCTGAGAATCAACACCAAACACAAACACAAAGTCCGCCTTGTACTATACATGGGAGCATGACCCTCCCACGAACAGGAGTGACAAACTTCTAAAAATTAAAAAAAAATGTGTTTCAGCAATCACTATATTGCAGAGGATGCAATTAAGGAAACCAACCCTCAGATTCATTCACAGTTAATGGGGTATGCTGAACCTGGCGGTCAGTTCTCATGCCAGGACAGTGAAGGCTTGTGATAAAGCTCTTTTCTAGCTTTGGTAAAAAGTATCAGGTTCTGGAGCCCTGAAGAGAATGACAGCCCCGAGTGCATGTCCTGATTTTAATATTACTCTTCTAATTTCCCATCAAAAAGTAGGCAGCTCCCTAGAGCAAGCGGCTTATTTAGAGGCTAGAGGTAGCCTCGGACAGGACAGTTCAAACAGGCCCCCTGAGGCTACTAAGTATTCTGCTGAGATGTGGGAACCATGATACTCAGAATGTGATGTGGCGGCCAACAGCTGGCCCAGACTGAAAGCAGGTCTCAATATGAGGGACAGGGGGCTCAGGCAGCACCTCTGCTCAGTCTGACCACCTTAGACCCTGGCTAGTCTGAGGGAGCCTCGCCTCTCTGGGTGGCCAGCTGAGGGTGAGGCACAGTGACTGTGAACAGGCCCAACTATTTGATTCTTGCCTGAACCCTCTCCTGGGGTTGGCAGGTCCCACGCTGCCAAAGCTGCACTGTCTCAGCTCTCCACAACAGTCTACCTGTAGATGCTGAGTTATTTATAAAAGAAAACAATGTCAACAAAAAACATCAAAGCACACACTGCCCATTTTCCTGACCTGTGACTGCCCTGCTCTCGTACCTCCTTCTGTCCCTTCTTCAGCTGTTTCAGATTAAATTATAATCTGGTTCTAGGACATTTGTAAAACATTCTGCCTGAAATCTAACAAACACTGGAAAAGAAGAGAATGAACGAGATGCCGCATGTCTGAAAGGAACTTGACATTTTAAACCTGAAACACATTGGAGGGTTGCCATTCTCATTCCCAGAGTCTATACACCTGTAGCTATTTTGTTTGCTGTTTCTTTGAACCCCGCAGAGAAATTCTCAGGGCCCTCACACTGGAAGCACTCTGGAGTTTCCTTTGTATTTGGCACCCCTCCCCCCAATTTCCCTGCTGCCCTGGCAACCAGCTGCTGCCAGACTCTCTAAGGCATCCCCACCTAAGCAGTGTCACTCAGGAGGCCAGAGAGGCAGCCCTCTTCCAACGGGACAGTTCTTGTGTACAGCAGACTCCTAAAGGATCAAGGAAGCGGCTAGCATCATCATAAAGGAATATAGTAAGGAGTCTGGCAAACTGACAAGCAGACCACATGAATAGAATATAGATTTTTAAAAATTATACATACTTTTAAAATGATTATAAACATGTAGCAGTTTAGAAAAGGCGATGTGCTACAGGTTTACTATAACCACAATTGCACAACAATTTACAGATTCAGTGAAAGGCAGGGTGAAATCAACAGGGCCATCGCTCAAACATGATGACCCAAGCGAGGCAGGAGAGATGTGTGACAATACCAAATGGAACTCTCATTATGCTAGGAGCTGTGATCACCACCAGTATCCCCCCCAGAGGAGTTATAAAGCAAAGGCGCACAAGGGTGCCCCTGGAGGCTGGTGGTGGGTGCGGGGTGGGGGGTGGGGTTGGGTGGCACGTCTGTGTTGGTGCCCATGTCACGGTGCAAGCATCAGTGAAAACTCAAGCAGGGAAGTCTGTGCTGAAATACTAGCCTGTAATCCTAACACCCATGCATAAGGTTCCATTTTTGTACTGTACATGATAAAAATATATTTATACATTTATATGCCTAATGCTTTTTATGCAAAGAAAAGAGCCTTCATATATCACTTTGGAGAAGTATGTCTATGCTGTGCTGATCAGAGCACGGTCACACCAGTTTCATATGTACCAATGGTGTTCCCAACTGTCCTGTCTACCAAGGAGGGCAACAAATATAAATCACACTTTCCAGGTTAAACAGAAAGCACCTATACAAGCACCATAACTTTGTGAAATTGAAACAGAATAAAATCCATAGAAGCAGGAAACAAAAGAGTTAAAAAGCCTTATCTTGTACTTTCATTGTGTCACTTGTACAATTACAACCTAAGCTTATATTTTAAAAATTCAGTTTGTATGCTATTGTCTCTCACTCAGACACTTTCAGTAGATCAGATTATACACAGCAAAGATGAAAATAATCAAGATTATATATTTAGGACAACAGTGAAATTAGAACTGCCTTAGTATTGACTGGGGTTTGTTTTCTTCACACATTTCTCACTGTAAAGCTTAATGCTCACCTGTAAATTCTTCCCTTCTGCAAAGCAAAACAGGACTTTTTTTCCCTTTCCTTTTCTCCTTAAAACTAAACCCTTTAGTGGCATTTGGCAACGAGTGGACAGCTGTGCTGCTTTCTTTCCTTAAAAGATCCTGGTTTCTAACAGACCAATACTGTTCACATTAGCTGAGGACACTGACAGGCGATCACAGGCCCTGCTGATCTGGCAGCCACAGACCAGGTGTTGGGGTCCCACCCACAGGCCACCCGACTCAGAACTGGGACACACTGAGCCAGACGCTGTGCTCCACCGGTTCTGCCTCTGCATGGCTCAGTCCTAGATGGGTGTACAGAGCAAACAACTATGCTATTGTTCAGTTTTTAGCAAAGGATAATTTTCTACTAAACAAAAGAAGAAAGAAAATCTCCCTCTAGTTTACGGAATTCCATGGGCTCAAAAGCTTGTGAAGCTGGAATGGTAACTGGTACATTTGTATTTAAATTTGCCAGGGGAAAGGACTGTTAACATTTTAACAGAAAAATACTGGAAGTTAATGCATGTGAAAAACTCAGAAAGTCAAAGAAAACACACACAAGAATGACACTTAAAACATCCCATAGACCATCGCAATATTAAAACACCACAGAATTGACGGGGGCTCCCGGTGTGCTCTGAGCCAGGGGGGCGGTGCTAGCGGGGCAGCTCGCCACCCCTGTACAAGGAAGATTTTGCATACTTTATAGAGTTCTGTTCCAAGGGTAAGTGCTTCACCCAGGGTAAGGGGCCATTAACAGTCTCTGCTGGGTTAGGAAAATGGCGCGGGATTCACAAAGGTGTTAAGCTGTAAACGGTATCACTGTCCACTTGCTGAAAGCAGATTTGGCAAAGGGTTTTCTCTGTAGATCTTGTGTCAGTTCGAGGGTCTAAAGGAGGAGAAAAGAAAACCGGATCATTAAGGGTACTGCAATAGTAAGAGTGGACACCCAACGGCTGGCTTCGCCAGCCTCTGGCCCTCCTCACCCGACCCTGGAGCCCAGAGAGCGCTCAGCAAAGCTGTTTTGCTGTACCATGTTCAAAAGCCTAAAATTCTAAAGACAAAGCATGAAGCCTACTTACCTTATTTCTTATTTCGTCCTTATTACAAAATATTCTATTTTATTCAATTCTAAAGGAAATGGGATCACTCACTTTGGATGACTAACAAAGGCAAATTAGGGTGTTTTAGTGGGCTCTTAAGTTGGGGATGCTCCAGGTGCAGAGGGGTTTTCTTCTGCATTGCGGGGTTTCCTGGGACATGGGACTATCACGCTAAACCAAGGAAAGGGTGGCATCGCCCTCCATAGACCAGCTGTACTCCTCTGGCTCTCCCCCCACTGGCTATGTGGACTAAGTGAACTTACCATCCTCCCAAGCATAAAAAGAGTAAGTCATGTCTAAGTGGGCCAAATTCCAAGTAGGAATTTCATTTTATTTTTTAAGAGACAGGATTTCATTATGTTGCTCAGTCTGAATTTGAACTCCTGGGCTCAAGTGCTCTTTCTGCCACAACTTCTCAAGTAGTTAGGAATATAGGTGCACGTCACTGAGCCTGACTCAGGAATTTGATTTTTATATTAAAAATTTATACAGATTCCTGAGTATAAATATAACACATACATACAGCCAAATACCCCCCCCCAAACACCCCATTGACAATTAACATTATTATTTTGCCTCTAATAGTCTTCAATGAAAAGGGACAAAAGAGGTCCTCTGAGAGCATGAGTTTATACAAGTCTCACCAGACTCGCCGAGTCCAGGAAAGTGAAAGGATTAAAATAGAAGGATAGATGTAGCTAGAGGAGCTGACATGAGAGACCTCAAGACATAAGATCTTTGTTTATGTAGACAGTGCTGTTACGGCTGTAAAAAACAAGGGCTCTGGGCCAAGAAGTGGACAAAGTGGGAGGGAAACAACACGAACTCCTAAGATCTTTCTTACTAGACAAGGGAACTAATGAAAACACACACATCAGCTTCTGCTCTCTTTATAGGAGTTCTATGTTCATTTGGAATTTTCACATGTATGTGGCTCCGATCTTTTCTGTGACTCCACACTCGCTGACAATCTCACCTTTCACTATCAATATCCACAAAGACAACAGGACTGAGTACTAATTTTATTACCTACTCAGGGTCATATTCACCCTTGTGATAGCTCCAAATATTAGAATTTAAGATTTTTTTTTATTGGGGGCACAGACAGTGAAGTAGGAAAAGGTCTTTTCTTTTTCCTACCTAATCTCTGGTATTTAGTTTCCTTGGCTGATGGTTTTTTGGAAGTATTGTTTTGTGAGGCTATTAGGTAATATTATCTTGTACTATAAAATAATGGCCTGTTGGTATCAGAGGGCAAAAAAGCTAATATACACACTAGATCTCAGTATCTGTGAGGAATTTAGGTTAGTAGATTACCTGGGCCTCCTTCTAAAGCGTGAACAGGGAGGGGCTTCACAGATACAGTCACCTGCAAGGGGAATCCGTTTTTTCCTTCACAGTAACACTTAATAAATCACAATCTGACATCAGTATGCAATTAGTCATCAAGGGTTATGGTCCCCAGGTCCCGATCCTGACTTACTGTGAGTGCCAAGGGAAAAGCTGTAAAGTATTACCTAATTCAGGCCCCTCCCCAGTTCCCTTTGGTGTTAATTATTCAGCCACGGAAGCCAGTACATAATGGTAAGGTGACACACTTCATTCCCTAAGTATAGAGGCAGAGTGTGCAGCTTGCTTTAATGTTGAGGCTGAGCCAACACAGAAAGGAAGGAAGAGAGGGCACCTACGAACCCCTTCAAGCGGCATCACTGAGGAGAACAGGCTGTCAGCTCTGAAACCAGGGGCAGGAGGCCCAGGTGGGGTAGTCTACAGCAATCACCACCAACAGTCCCCAAACCAAATACCCATTATCTCATCAAAGGCCCACAATCTTCAGGGAGCTTCGTCATCAAAGAGGAGATGGACTAATCATCACTCTGCCTTTCTGCAGAGGGACACTGTGGCTACCTGTGACACTATGTCTAGAGCTTCCTCTGAGGTCTGCAGGCAATGCCCTCTCAGGGAGGCCTGCTTGGCAAACTGCCTCAATGCCTATAGGTTGAGTAGGTGGAGGCCCAGGTATAGACAGGTCTTAGGGAGGACAAGTTTATTATAGAAATCCCCCACTGCACAGAACAGAGAGGCTTTCTCTGTGACAGAAAAAAACCAAACTGTAAAGTACTGTGAAAACAGAAAAGAACTAGATAAATGTTGAACAGAAATGTTGAACAATCATCCTTCTGAGAGAAACGCAGGAAAACGACCACAACAAAGACTGGGATTATAAAAAGAATCAAGAGATGTCTTAGATTTTTAATGGCTCTTATGTGGCTCAATGTCTGCACATTTATTTGACTCAGTCAAGAACAGAAAGAGGAGGGAGAGCACATCAAGCAGTGAAATCCAGCCACTGAGAGGGGAATTCAACGATGCAAGCGTTTTAAGGAGGCCCACATCATTCTTACATTGTCAAAGTATGACCTTTTAGTTAACTGCGTGAGGTTCATGGGTTTGTGGTGATACACATCAGGTTAAGCAAAACTTTCGGAAGGAGAAGCAAGCACACAGCTGATGGAATTACAGTGGTTACTTTGCAGTTTCTAGGCAATTTGCCAATTAACAATTAAAAAAATGTCCTGTCTCATTGGTGAGTTTCATTAGCAGGGAGAAGATGCCACCTGCCCTGATAAGTAAGTTTGAAACCAGTTGTTAATGCAAGGAAAATGAAATGAGACCAAATAAATGAGAAGGCCCATCCTAAAAATATCTATGGGATGCTGTCATCTGGTCTCTGGTGAGAGTAAGTCCCTCTATAATCTTGGCATCTGTAGGGAAGACAAGTTTCTGCCTAATTATCACCACTAAATCACATGATGTTCTAAGAAAGGGAAACGCCTCCAAAAACTCTACAGAAAACCCAAGAACCCCAATCGACTTTAATCGGGGATAAAACATAAATGTTCCTACTGCTGTCCTCCCACCACTTAATTCTACTGTGAGAAATTTTTCAGCAGTGCTTTCATCTTCTTGGCAGAGAAGAAAGGAACAGGACCCCAATACTAAAAATGACAGGGAGGAAAAAAGAGATAAAAGGTGAAACCCTCACAGCCACAAACCCGTAAAGGTTTGCAACTGTTTTCCTAGCTAGAACTACAAGATGTTTGAAGTAAAGTTTGCCTGAAAAACAAAAGTAAAGTGAAATGCCACTTCACTCTTTACAAGTAAAGATAATTTAAGACAAATCTGCAACCCCTTGGGAAAACTGGGGACTAAGTCTGAGACATTTAGGTTAGAAAAGGAAGCTTGGAGAACAGGTGTGGATCTCAGAGCTTGACTGTTTCCATTCAAACAGTAAAAGAAACACCTGCCGGGGCCTGCCACCATCTCTGCTTCACTCCACAGGGACTGAAGGACACCGACATATCATAAGACACTTCACCTGCAACCATCCACCACGGCTTGTGTAGTTGGTTTCATCCCAGGAAAAATAGCGCTTCTGCAGGTCTGGGGTGAAGCAGCTATGTCTGATTTTAGAGCACCAAAATGGCAGCAGTGGCCTGGAAGTCCATCTTCATAGGAAAACTCACGAGGTTCAGGAAAACATGCTAATGGCACATGCTCTGGCTTAATTTGGTCATTTTTTCAACACCTTCTAGGTTGGAATAAATGATAAAAAAAGAAGTTCATGGAAACCAGCCTGGTGGTCACTGATGGCTGGGACCTGGCCAAATGGACAACCTTCATGTCTACCAGGGATGAGGATTCAGGAGGTGCAGCACTGTAAAAATCCATTTTGGCAAATGCTGTCAACGGCTACACTACCATTTCAGGCAACGAACAGTTCGTGAAGGAAACAGAACAGGTTTAGAAGCTGTGGCCAGGGTAGGGGCCAGAGTTGCACTCTGCTGAGAGCCTCCCTAAAGGAAAGTTGTATTTCTAGGAAACCTGCTTCATTGGCTCTGGTGCTTTCTAACGGACAAGAAAGCACTTATGGAGAAGGTGTGGATGTTATAGGAAGGCTTAGGAGGAGAGGCTTTTAATGGCAAAGGTGATATTCAGGACAATAGCAGATTGGCTCTTGACCCTACTCAGAAAAAAAAAGCCTCAGTTTGTGTAAGAGAAAAGCTTGACTTGTGTGAAGACTGCTTTGTGCTACCCCCAAAGAAATTCCTGGGCTTGTTCAAGGCAGTGAGTGGGTGAAGCCTGAGGAGGCTGAGGACACAGGACCCTCAAGAGCCTTTGCCACCAGGACTCCTCAGAACCTGGATGTGACATGGACTGCCCTTTCAGCGTTCGTGCAGTGCTGAAAAGTCAGAAGGGAGATAGCCCAGGAGAGCAGCCACCATCCCAGCACTTCAAAGCCGAAGGACAAAGAGCTTGGTGGTGGCCACCTGCTGAGAGGCACCAGCTTTTCTGTTTAAAGTTTAGAGACTTAAGAAGCTTAAGTTAAGAATGCCCCATCTGCCTATACACCGGGCAGGGACATGTTAATCAATATTCTTCGAGTGTCCAGGGTTGACTATGGAGACTGACATAGCAGAAACATGGTAGGCACTGATTTACTATCAACAGCAAACTTGCCAAGATTTCAAATCATACAGAATAGTATGTAAAGTTTTGGATTATGTTCTTTTACAGAACAAATTTCAAGGCTTTAAGGGGCACTTGGATCTTCCCTGGACTCAAGGTTGCCTAAAGGTAACATCCAAAAATCTTAGTTGGCAAAGGCTGGTGGGATTAAGAGCTGTGGTCTTCATGCTTTATGACCCATGGCTACTTCTGGAACAACCCTCTGCTGCATCAGGAATGCTCTCCCTGCTCAGCTCTTCTCACTACCGTGTGAATCACCCACACGTTCAGACAGCACCTCCAGCCCCACTTCCTAGGCTGTCCTTGACTGAACTCTTACGACACTCAACTGGCATCTAATCATATCGTGCCCGGAATGACTACTTTTTCATGAACTCTGAGCTCCCAACATGCTGAACTCCTTGAGAGCAGGGCAAAGTCTTTAAATCAAATCATACTTACAGAGCACCTACTATTTTAAGAGCACTGTCTTAGACGTGGTACTTGCCCTCTAGCAATGCACATTTTGGTGAGGGAAACAAAATTTTCTTGATGTCCCAGGTAGCCTTGAAAATTAGAAGTATAGAACAGGCACACAGTAAATGTTGGCTGAATAAATGAAAGAACCACCCCTCTGGAACCAGCACTCTCTCTCTGCCAATGGCATTCTCAATGTCCTTCAATTGCTAATGCTTCTTTGACTTACGTGTGCTAAGACTTTATCTGAAGATAGGCAAGACCTACTGCTTATGTGACAAGACCTAGGATTTCTAATCCTTTTTTTGGGTGTGGATAATACTTTCCAATGATTAAATTCCCGTTTCTTAAAAAATGAAATCAATACAAGGCATGATTTTAGCATGTGACCAAATCTTCTGCCATCCTTTCTGTACATCCCACTACGCATATCCTTTACCACCAGCCAGCCCCCAAATAACGAGTGCTGCTGTCTTAAGTTTCAAGTTGCTGTCGTTAATAAAGTGATTCACCACTTAAGAACAAAAGGGAACTGTAGAGTCCAGGAGGAAATGCTCAAAGCTACCAACCGTGACCTGAATGTCACAATGTCTATGTACACTGGGTGTGACCCTATCCTGTATGACTCCTCCCTGCATTTACTGGGGCATAAGGGTGGAGGATGAATGGTGAGAGTGTGCAGGCTGGGATGTCCTAGATCCTTAGAGGGTGGGTGGAAGTGCAGGTGTATCGCCAGCCCATCTAAGGGTTCAGCTACCAAGTACAGAAGAGAGGGGCCTCTAAGTCTTCTTTTCCTGCTCTAGATATACAAAGTTTTGAGAAACAAGTCTAATTTTCCCAAGTGATTCTGAAATTGAAATCACAAATCAGCTCTTTTTGTGGCACAAACAGTTCAAACCACACATCCAGGGAATATGGTATGACCAGGGCATGCAGGTGACACAGGAGGTGCCCAAGCAGCAGCCATCACGTTGGCACAATAGAGGAAGGAAATCAAAAGGGAACTGAAAGGAGAGACCCCGAGGTGGTTCCATGATGGAGACAGAGGACTGTCATGAGGTCAGGCATGCAGATTCTAGGAGTAGGTAAATTCATCTCACTGCTTGGTCTGCACTGCGGAAATATGTACAGAGGCTTCCTGCAGCGGCGCACCCCACCAACCAGCAGGGCGGCCTGGCCAGAACCTGACTGGGGCTGAACAGGGAGTGCTTTGGCTTTAGGCTGTCAGTACATAGGCAGCATGTTGACTGATACATAGGTGTATCAGTCAACATGAATTTCACGATTGCTTGTAACAATGCTGGGCTGTATTACTTTCTGATCATTTCTGAACACGCTAATCAGAACCTCTAATTAATTATAAAGGAGTATATACAAATGAAGGCCCAGTATAAATTAATTTAAAATTTCAGCCTCGGAACTCTTAGACTGCTGCCTCTGGCCTTCTCCTCTTGGCCACTAATTTTCCCTAAGGAATCAAATCAAATATTCCACACAAATACTTTAAAAAAATTATGGCCCAGACTTCTTTCATAAGGAAGCGAATGACATTCTGACACACAAGCCTTCAATCAATCCAGGATTGACAATTAAAGTTTTATCCCTCAGAAACACTGGCATTACTTTCTGATAACTCATAACTGATTCTCATCCCTTAATAAGTGAATGCTATGAATTCCAGCAAAAGAGAGGTTATAAAAACTAGTAAATCAAGAATTACAGAATAAGGTCCCCATCTATTACTGAGAGAGAAAGAAAAAAAGAACACCTGCAACCAGTGCCCAGTGGCTCTTTACAGAGTGGTGTATTTTAGTTCCAGGCCCAGCTGCTGCTGCTACTTTAGGAAGAAAGCACCTGAAGAAAAATGACCTATTTTTCCTGGGTTTTTAGTGAACTTAGGCTTGGAAGAGATCTTAAGCCTCTTAAGGGTGCAGTGACTGTATTTTCTGAGCCTCAGATTGTGTCACATTAGCCAATAAGAAATAAACCACCTGGCTCGGCGCCCACAGCGCCAAGGACTGTCCTTAGCGTGTTGCTTCTCTTGCTCTGTGGCCATACTGACCTACTTTACTCTCAGGAAAATTTGGTGACTTTTCATTTTTAACTGAGTAAATATCCCCTCAACCTCCTGCAAAGTATTCTGAAGAAAAGTAACCCTAAGGTTCCATTATGGCATAATAATAAAATGCACTAGTCTCCAAAGTAGTAACTTATTATCAAAATCATAGTTCATAAAATAAAATTTTAAAATTTAAGTATTGAAATCTCCCTTAAAAGATTTTTGTAGAATCTTTTATCATTATGCATACACGAGAAAGGTCTGCTACTCAACTAAAAGGGAAACCTACTCCTGAAAACTCAGACAAAAACCGACAGTACATGTCTTTCCTGAATGAATGTGCTCTTTCCAATGAGCTACAAAGTTACCTCCTTACAATTATACCCCAATTCAAACTTACTTGTGTCTTTAAAAGCCTCTACTTAAGGGAAGACAAACCATTTAGTCATGTAAAAGCCAAGCATCTAAATTTCTAAAGGCAAATCTTCCACATGCCTCCCTTCAAGGAAGATAAACTATTCTTCTAAAAGCCAAATATCTAAATTTTTTTTTTTTTTTTAGAAACGGAGTCTTACTTTGTTAGCCTCAGTAGAGTGCCATAGTGTCATAGCTCACAGCAACCTCCAACTCTTGGGCTTAGGATTCTCTTGCCTCAGCCTCCCGAGTAGCTGGGACTACAGGTGCCCGCCACAATGCCCGGTTATTTTTTGTTGAAGTTTGGCTGGGGCCCAGTTCAAACCCGCCACCCTTAGGATATGAGGCTGGCGGCCCTACCCACTGAGCCACAGGCACTGCCCCAAAATATCTAAAGTCAAATCTCCATCAGTCAAGTTCTGATATGGCACTGAGGTGGCTGGCATGAAAGTCCTCCCATTACAGTCTTTTTACCATCTCAAGAGCTATTAAATGAGTAAAATCAGATGTCTGAGTTCCATCAGGGCCTCTTATGCTTGGGTGAGTTGGGAAGCTTTAGCATCAAAACACTCCTGACATTCCCCTTTCTACAACTACCCAGGAGCTGGTGTGAGCTCCTCCAGGAGACCCTTGTAATTCCTTCACCATGGCAGAGGGTTAAACAAGGCTCAAGTTTTTTGGGGTTTGAATTCCCTTTCTTTTTACACCATTTAAAGAAGCACGTAAGCAGTGTGCTGATATGGAAACAAAACAATACAAAACAAAGGAGCTGGGGCAGAGAACTGAGCCTTGTTCAGGGGGAGGCTCTGGGTGCACACCTGTTGCAGAAGATCCCATTCATCTCACTTCTTGAGGAGGAAGGTTTCAGGGCAAGCTTGTCTATTATCTGCTACTCAGGTTCCAGTTCACAGCTACTCTGGTTTAAGCCATTTAAGAAATGTGTCCAGCTTTGTGACCTTGGACAAACTACTTAACCTTTCTGAAGGTTCACTTCTCTATTCACCTGTCTACATACCTAATTGCACCATAAATATTTCAGCCCACTGCAGTATTCAAAGCACTTTCATAAACTTTGGTGCATTTGATTCTTGCAATAACCTTATAAAGTGGCAGGGGTTACTAGATTCATTTTATTAAATTGGAAATTTGAGACTCAAAGACCTAATGACACACTCACAATGACAGCCAGAAAGTGGTGGAAATGGGCCTATACCCTCAATTCCTGATTCCAATCATATATTTTTCCTAACACACTGCATTGCCTGATTTTATGGTGCCAACACCATTAAAAGGCCACAATTTTTAAAATCTGTCACGATCCACAACCCATGCCATAAAGTATTAGAAACCTGACATCATTTATAGGCTGGGGAACAAGGAGAAGTACCTAAGTGCTCCCCCAGATAAAAACTTGTATTTTCAACTTAATTCCCTACTTTTCTAAATGCTTAGATCCTGAGTGCTAATAAAGATGCCTAATACTAAGATGAAGAATAATCTAAGATAAAGATGTTCTTTCTGACATAAATATTCATATGTGAAAGAATTCAGAATACATATTCCTCAGTTAAGTTAGAAGTGTTATAAACTGTTACTTTACTGGAAAAAAAGATGAAGAAACCATAATACCAAAGATCGACAAAGACAGTGTTGGTGCCAGGCATGGTGGCTCACACCTGTAATCCCAGCACCCTGGGAGGCCAAGGCAGGTGGATTGTTGGAGCTCAGGAGTTCAAGACCAACCTAAGCCAAGAGTGAGACTACCTCTCTACTAAAGAAGTAGAAAAACTAGCCAGGCATGCTGGTGCAAACCTACAGTTCCAGCTACTCAGGAGGCTGAGGCAAGACGATTGCTTAAGCCCATGAGTTTGAGGTTGCTGTGAGCTATGACAGAACAGTGCTCTACACAGGGCAACAGAATGACAGACTCTGTCTCAAGAAAAAGATAGTGTTGGACCAGAGAGTCCTAAGAAAGTCCTTTGGCTTGGGGCCTTATCTCTGAAATATGGTCTATCATCCATCCCCTTCCTCGCCTTCTGTTCTCATCTCCTCCTGTCAGGTAGGGGGACCTGTGTCATAGGTCACAGAGGATGACTAAATACAGGGAAGAATGAGACCTTTTACTAGCAGTGAAATTCCTTGGGTTTGAGACGAGCTGGTTGGGAGCCATAGTGCACCACTGCTCCACGGTTCTCATGTGGAATAAAGTTTTAAGTAAATGGAAGACAGGCTGCCCCCAAGGTTTTCCCTTCATCCCGTCTTGTCACTTGTACACCAGAGCACGGGGCACTGACCTGCTTTGCCCACTTCCCCTTCCTCAGTGATCCTTCAGCCTGGCACCCAGCTCTGAGATGAGGCCTGCTTAGCACCAGTGAAGCTCCCCACGTTCAAACCAACAACGTTCTGTGTGGAGATGAGGGAATCAAAGTTAAAATCCAACCCATCAGCATCCATGAGTTCACTACGGATAATAGACTCCATGTCACATTCTAAGCTCCCATTGAACATGTCCAGGTCCAAGTCGCTGGGGAACTTCTCATGGCCCATGACGGGAAGGTTTGCACTACTTGAGTACAAGGAGGAGCCTGAGAGAGAGTCCGAAAGGGTTTGCATAGACTGGTTGACAGGTGACTGCTGCTGGTGTTTGGCTGACCCAAGACTGCTCGAGTCACTCAAGCCCATGTTGCTGACGGAATTCGACAAGGCACGGCTGCCACCGAGAGCGCCCTGGGTTTGGTGCTGGTGGTGGAGCAAGTTCTGATTGACCAAACTCCCCTGGTTGGGCTGGGCGGCGAAGGACATCATTGGGTCGCTGCGAAGCATCACGTTCCGGCGGGAATTCTGGGCAGATACTGCAGTGCTGGCCTGAGACATCAAAGGGTCTGACTGGGTCATCATGACATCACTGTGGCTGAGTGAGTCCGAGGTCAGCAGGTCCTGGAGTGTCTGGTTCCCATAGTGGGACATGGAAGAGAAGGTAGCTGGCTTGTTCTCTTGGATGGTCTGCATGGGAGACTGGCGCAGGGAGTTGAGGGACGAAGGTCCGAACACCGTGCTGTTAAAGGAGCTGGTTGGAGAGCCCAGGCCGGAGCCCTTGGTGGGGTAGGGGAAGCTAGAGCTCCGCTGCATGAGCCCCCCAGTGGGTGACGGCTGGGATGATGGAAGCGGGATGTTATCCAGCAGGTCATCCATGAGGTTGTCAGCCAGCCCGTCGTTCAGATTCATGGTGCCCGCCATGTCGGTCAGCCGCGGCAGCTCCACAGTGCACGGCTTGCTGACAGAGGGGGACAGGCTTGCTGAGTTGCTGTAGAGCATGGGTGAGAGAGGAGCATCGTCATCCTGGACGTCATCCAACTCTGTGCTTGCCAGAATGGGAGACAGGCGGCCACTCACTGTGCTGGCATTGGAATTGGTGCGTGAGCGGAAGTCTGTCCACGCATCCAGCTCATCACTGCTACGGGACGTGGGGCTGCCAGGCCACTTAGAGAGCTGGGAGGGACTGTCGTCGGCTGACTCCGGGGCTGACTGCAGGGCTGCCTTCTTCTTGGCGGCTCGGCCACGGCTCTTGGTATACTTGTTGCTGTTGTCCATGGAGACGGCCCGCCGCCGGGGGGCCTTCCCACTCTTCCCCCCATCAGGGTTGATTATCCACCAAGAACTCTTGCCGGTTCCCTCATTCTGGACCCGCATGAATCGGCTATGCAGAGACAGGTTGTGCCGGATAGAATTCTACAGAGAGAGAAGAGAAAATACAGAACATGAACCAGAATGAATGGTCCCAAACCAAGCACCCTGAAGACAGGGCTAACCAATTCCTCACTTTAAAAGCCTCCTCAATTTCAAAGGAAAAAAAAGAAGGAAAGAAAGAAAAAGAAAAAGATCCGAGCCCTTTTGGCTGGAGACACCATCTTCCAATAATTCACCAAAATGACAAACACAAAGGGAAAGAGGAGAGGCACCTGATACGTGTTCTCTAGGCCTTTTAGAAAACATGGAGTTGTTCCTTTGGCCACATACATGTGAATCTACAGGAAAGGTGATATTGTAGACATCAAGGGAATGGGTACTGTTCAAAAAGGCAGGCCACACAGATGTTACCATGGCAAAACTGGAAGAGTCTACAATGATACCCAGCATGCTGTTGGCATTGTTGTAAACAAACAAGTTAAGGTAAGGTGACTAGGCAGGACAGTCCCAATTGTTAGCAATTTGTCCCACGGTATTTTTTTTTTGAAAGAATGCACGACAAGCTAGGGAATGGCGGGAGAACGGGAAGGGAATATATGGTTTTTTTGGCTGCCATGTGGCTATTTCGCCAGGAGATGAGTTTTATATTATTTTTGTTAATTTTATAATGTTAAACTTAAATCATAACAAATAATTGTTGAGAATTGATTATCGAGAACTGCTTATCAAAGTTTGCACTGTTGATCAGTTGTTAGAATTCAACCACCATTGTTTGGACTTAATGAACAATGGCATTTTTTGGCATTGGTAATGACAAAAACATTTTGTAACTGTCTCTCAGAAGATACACATTGTACTGTGTGCTAATGCTAGTTAAACAAGTGATGTCAACAAATCAGCTATTCAGGTAATTTAGGTAAGTAATTTATTTATTTCATGAATTTAGCAGACAGTACTCATATTATTTATATTTTATAGTGGCAGAAAAAAGTCTAGTGCCAGCATTGAAAGTGACACTTACAAGGTATCATTATTAAAAAAATGTGTTGATAAGGAAAAGGTTAAATCTTGGGCATCAGCAAAAATCACAATAGAGAATAAATGCTTAGAAATATTTCATCATTTTGAAACAAAGCATGTTCCATACAATAATGCACTAAAAATTGTGGGATACACGCTGTCCTTACCAGAAACTAATGCTGCGACTGAATGTGTTTTTTCTACAGTAAATAAAGTGTGGATAACAGAAAAATCACAATTAAGTGTTGAGACTTTGAAAGCCATTTTATGTGTAAAATATAGTTTAACAAATTCTTGTGAAAAATTTCATGACCTTTTAAACAATGACAGAAATCTACTAAAAAAAATCCACTCAAATGAGAAATATGCCAAAGAATAAAATAATACTATACATAATTTTTTTAATGTATTAGATTTGTAAATTGTACTTATGTTGAAATAAAAAAATATATTACAATACTATTTTTGCATTCTATGAAAATTTCTGTTGCTCCATATAGACCAAATTTGTAATTAAGAAACCACCCCCACCTTGGTCAATGGTGTCCTGCTTTACCAATGTTAAAATCTGGTCACCTTAAGTTAAGGGCAAGATTCTTGCCAAGAGGATTAATGTTCATATTGAGCATATTAATAAGCACTCCAAGCGCTGCGGTAGCTTCCTGAAACGTGGGAAGGAAAATGATCAGAAAAAGAAGGAAGCCAAAGAGAAAGGTACCTGGGTTCAACTGAAGCGCCAGCCTGCTCCACCCAGAGAAGCCCACTTTGTGAGAACCAACAGAAAGGAGCCTGAGCTCCTGGAACCCATTCCCTTTGAATTCATGGCATAAAGCATGTAATAGCACACAGGAGTACCAGTAGACCCATGTTTTTAGGTGCAAGAACCTATTTATTCCCCATGAGCTCATGGCATAATAGGTGTACAGCTTAGCACACAGGATAACCAATGCACCCCATGTACAGTGATACAAGGTGCTAGAACCTATTTCCTATGAATTCAAAAGTTAATCAATGTTTTGTCACATTCGATGGCCAGGTGCCTCCCTGAGCTACTGGAACCTCTTCCCTATGAATTCATGGCATGGCAGATAAAAATAATAGCCTATGCCACTGTAAAAATGTTTCTTGTTTATTCACTAAAAGTACGGTATTTTTTTCCCCAAAGAAGTATTAAAACAAATTTTAATGTGTCCTTAAAAAAAAAAAAAAGATCTGAGAAAACAAACCTCTGCACGACCCTCCTTGATGTGGTATAAAACAACAACATGTTAAATGGCAGGTTTCGTATCGAGGAGATGGGGAGACGGTTTCATCTTCAGGAGATACTGGGAATGCATAAGCTCACTGACAGTGGTTTCTTCTTGAATTCCTAAGTTTTACTGCTCCGTCTATAATTATATTGTCCATATTAAAGTTCACACCTATAATTTATTACCATACCACTCTCCCCACTGTACTTTGCAATAAACCTCCTTGGCTCTCCAAGGGCAATCAATCACCTGGGAGGCTATTTTATTTCCTACGGTCCCTTTCTCCACTAGTGTAGAGGCAGCACCCACCTTCTCTTAGCCACTTCTATGAATTCAGAACTAGTAAGGATTTTACCTATCCTTTCTGAGACTCCATCTTGTCCTGCCACAATTTCACACCTCACCGTGTAACTCTTGGCAGACATAAGAAAGCAGAAAGCATGGTACAGCAGGATTTGCTGGGACGATGAAAGAAGCAGGCAAGTCTCCCATTCGGAAGAATTAGAATAGTTTATAAAGATAATCCAACCTCAAGGCAGTATGAGCTGAGCATCGTAACTATCTTTCAAAGAGTACAGAATGAAGAGGCAGGGAAAGGGCGACTTCACGGTGGAGAAACGTGGTGCCCAACACCGTCTCCACCAGGTGATCAAGGTCTCAACGTCGACACAGCAAGTCATGCTGACAGCATGCACCCCTGATGTGACGTGATAAAAATGGCACCTTCTTCCGTGGTCTGCCTTCCAAAACCCATAGTCTCAGTCTAATCACGAAGAAAACATTAGACAAATTGCAATTAAAGGACATTTACAAAATGCCTCTTCAGTACTTCTCAAAACTGTCAGAGGTAAGAAGAGCCTAAGGAGACACGATGGCTAAACGTGAAGGGGTCTCCTGAATGGAATCTTGGAGGAGGAAAAGGACATTAAGTAAAAATGAAGGAAACATGAATGAAGCATGAACTTTAGTTAATAATAATATGACCATACTGGTTCATCAGTTATGACAAACGCACCATATTATATAAGATGTTCACAATAGGAGAAAATTGATGCTGGCTATATGGAGAGTCTACTATCAATATCTTTGCAACCTTTTGGTAAATCTAAAAAAGTATTCTAAAATGAAAGGTTTTGCTTTTTTTTAAAAAAGTAGAGAAAAATACCCTCAAAACCCTAATGACTGCACCCATCTCGTAAGAATTCTCCTCCTGGTTTGGTAGGATAAGCCCAAAGACAGGGATGACCCAGATTCAGTCCTATCTCTGCCACTAACTGACTGCGTAGCCCTGAATACGTCGTTAATCTGCTTGTAACAAATGCAGTTCCGTCTCCATTATGGCCACAATAATATTCCATCCACCCCTCTCTGACAAGGATGATGTGAGATGACATACGATGATATACTTCGTGTAGATATGCTGTGAACCCAGGGTGTCCTGACTGCTGTTACAGAACACAGAGTCCATGGTGGAGAGAGTGCGTGGCCTGGGGCAGGCTGGTTCTCAGCCACAAATGCCTCACCTGCAGCCAAAGTGGGGAGTTGATGAATACATAGTCTCTGTATCTGGAACAGCACCTGCAGACCACATGAGCTTTTATTTGTGAGTTGAAGATTAAGGATATTGCCCGATGCTGTATATTCAATATGAACGATCCTAAAAGTTACTAGATTTTTTTTTTAATTGGCAATCACTGACTGTATTTATATAGAGGATCACAAATACATGTGTTCTACCAGAATGTTTTTAAAACACAGAAATTCAACAGGATTTTACCATAAATAAATAATTCACAATACTCAGTGTTTCCCGTGTACGTTCCCATGTAAGAAGGGCTTGTATGCTCAGCCTGGGCAATGAGCATCAGCAATCAGGGGTCATCAGCTGGCATTTCTACAACTGCCACAAAGATGCATTTGGGAGAGGAAAATAGGCAACACGCTGAGTCTCTGATGAAACAAATGTTGCCCAGGAGACTATCTATCCTGCCTCCTTTTTACTTTTATGGTTTTTAAAAAGAGTAATGGCATCTCTAATGGCTCAGATATGATTATTTCTTTAAAAAGTAAAACACTTTCTCTATGAAAGAGGTTATGAAGCATGCTTTTAACATGCACTCTAAAGGGTTCAGAAAACAGGCAAGTACAAGGTGGTTCTACTACTGAATACACTGACGACTACATATAATAAACAAAAACGCATGCTCAAGCTTCTAGGTGAAAAAACCATGGAGGTCCTGAGGCTATGCGGGACGGTGAAGGCATCAGCCCTAATTATTCCTGCCCTGGTCAGCCCCCTTCGCTCTAGATTCTGTGAAGAGTTTACACTAACATCTATAATTAACAAGAACAACTAATCGTAAGTATTTAGTTATTTCCCCTTTAAAAAGAATTTAAGGAACCGTATTTTTAAAAATATTTTAGTTTCACCAATTCCAATTGAGAAAACAAATGAAATATTTTATAGAACCGCAAAATGCCCCATATGACTTTTCTGATGGCCACATCTATCACTATGACTCCCACAACGTATGTAATTATACACAATTTCAACTGTATACAACTAGCTAAAATTTGGAGACAGCTATTACACTTCTGTGAGGGCAAGGGGTAATGAGGTTAGAATACTCACACCTAGGATCCAAACCACAGGGCATAGAAGGACCATGGAGAACGCTCACCTGTCCAGGTCTCTAGTTAAAAGGGGTGAAGATGTGATAGCCTGCCAGCTTACAGCCCTGCCAGTTACTGACTCACAGGTTTTAGATTCAT